GGGGGGGGGGAATGTTTGAAAAGTCTGTCCTCCTCCAAACGTGCTTGTTTTGCATGGTAAAACTGTCCCAACAGGACTGTCCCTCTGGGGTCACAAGCACTGTTTGGGTTGGGTCTCTTTGAGTGTAATGCAAGGGTTTGCCTTGCTGAGAGCTGAACAGGGCTGATGTGGGGGGAGGTGGGAATCTGTGTTTTGGTGTTTCCTCCTCGGCCTTTATTGTGGTACACAGATTTTGCAGACTTCCCTAGAGGTGAATTCCCTGCAAAACCAAGAGAAACTTGGGGAGGAGGAGGGGTGAAGTGCTGAGCATCTGTGTGCTGAGCTCTGGCTGGTCACAGCTGAGGGATTAGCAGCAGCACCACTAGTTGCCAGGCTTTCAGCAGAGTTTTGGGCTGAGATCACCCTTTGACCCTTGGTGCTGAGTTGTTCAGGCCTGATCCCATGCTCTTCTAGAGCCAGTCCAGGCATATGATGGCAGTTGAGATGTCTCACAACTGGGAAGAATCTGTTCATGGAAGAAACTTAAGCTACTTAAATTTTTCCAATCTAGTGTGAGAAATACCAATGCTTTCAGATTGTTTGGGGGGGGATGTAGCGAAGTAATTTCACTCATGAAAGCTTTGGCTTCTTTGGACCACTGTACCCTGCCATGCCAGTTCTCAGGTGTTAGAGCTGTGCTTTGCATCACGTTGTGCTCATTTCCATTATTACCACCCTGAAATCAGGATCTCTGTGTCAGAACCCAGTGTTGTAGCTCTGACTTGCATGCTGGGCACCTTCAGTGGGAGGACATTTCTGGAAGTGGTTTTTATGCTTTCCCTTCTAGAACCCTAATGCCAATCCCAGACCCACAGCCCAGGACCTAGCTGGGTTTTGGGATCTCCTCCAGTTGTCCATTGAAGACATCAGCATGAAGTTTGATGAGCTGTACCACCTGAAAGCAAATAGCTGGCAATTGGCAGAGACACCGGAGAGAAAGGTGAGTGTGGGGTTGTTGAGATTGCCCAGAGCTCCTCACAGACATCTGGGGAGGCGAGGTCTATTTCTGTCTGCAAACAGATCTCAAGGGCTTTTACCTTGCCCTTGTGCAGTGTAATCTCACAGCCTTGCAGTGTACTGAGACCATCCCTCTTGAGTAATAGCGGAAACAATTTTGCACAAGGGGAAAAAAGTGTTGTGATGGAGAGCGAGCAGAGCGATGAGTGCTGGTGTGTGCTCAACGCAGTGATGCAGAGGCCTCTAGTGTTACAAGCCCTGAATGAAGAGGTTTTAACTGTTCCTGCTGTCCGAGTAGTATAAAAAACACCTACTGGAACCTTTTGAGAATGCAGCACAGGTGGTGTGTGGGGCCAGGCTGCCTGACCTAGACATGAGGGTAGGAAGGAGGACTATGGCTCTGGGCAGGGGGGCGCGTTAAAATTGAGTTCATTTTCCATGTGCTCTGACCTATAGCTGGGCCAGACTGACCCTACAAACCCTAGTCCGCTTCACCAAAGGCCTGTGTACCATGTAAAGCAGAAGAGCACGTTTGTAGACCTTGGGGAAGCCAATTTGGAGTGCTTTGCTCAAGAACTGCTCCTGCTTCTTCCACCTGACACTGTCCCTCATTGCTTAGTCTCTTGTGCCGTAAGAGGCCCCGCCGCATCAGAGCAAGCTTTGGTATGCACATTTTTACTTTATGTGTGGGTTTTTCCTTGCTGTCTCCCTAAAGGAAGAGAAGAAACCGCCCCCTCCAGTGCCAAAGAAGCCAGCCAAGTCCAAATCCCAGCTGAACCGGGACAAAGCCTCCGATTCGGACAAGCAGCGCCAGGAAGCTCGCAAGCGCCTCATGGCAGCCAAGCGAGCAGCCTCTGTGAGGGCGAAACA